GGCAAAGGAACAAAAACTGCGTACTTGCTAAAGCGGTCGACTATGACCATGACTTGGCTCTTGCCATGCCTGCTCTTGACTTGAGTGTCCATGAAATCTATTGACACTGAGTCTCCCGGCTGATCCGGAATGGGCAAGGGTCTGAGAAGACCTAGCGGGGCGCGCGTAGAACTCTTATTACGCTGGCAGACTTTGCAACTGCGAACATATACTCTACGCAGTCATTCTTCATCCCTGGCCAGGTATACGCGCGCATCAGATTGGCCAAAGTCTTTTGCTAACCGAAATGACCCTCTGTGTCGTGACATTCCCCCATAATCAGACTACGGATCTCTTCGCTATTGGGGATGCACAACCGGTCAAAGACATTAGTCTTCTCGAAGAGTAACCCTCCAGTAGTGCGGTAGTTCGGCTCGGTCTCTGGGGCCTCCTTGACTCGCGTGAGGAGCTCACTATAGATAGGGTCCTGCGCGTAGGCTTCTCTAACCTTCTGCTGCAGATCCTTTCCTATTTTGAGGTAATGTACTATTCCCCAAAGTAATATGCTCTCCTACTCAGAGCATCCGCGACTACGTTGTACTTCCCTTTGACAGGCTTGAGCTCGAAGTCGTACTGATCTATCTCTGCGGCCCACCTAGTAAGGTGTCATCTTGGCCTGGGTCTTTAACCACCGTAACGTTTCATGGTCCGAATAGACTTTGAAGTGCCTCCCAAGCAAGTAGTGCTTCCAGTGGTCTAATGCTTGCCTAAAAGCGTAGAGTTCCGTCTCATAGGTAGATGTCGCAACCTTCTCTGAAGGCATCCTAGCGGACATGAACTCTACGGGTCTATAGCCATTGCCATCGTCTTGCTGTAACACTGCGCCTATGTCGTACTGGCTAGCATCCGTAGTAACAACAAAAGGCAAGGACGGATCGGCGACCTTAAGGACCGGATACTCTATGAACGCCTGCTTTAGCTTCTTCATGGCGGACGTGCAGTCCTTATCCCACTTCCAGATTGTCTCTTTTCTCAGCAATCTGCGAAGGGGCGCAGCGATGGTGGAGAAGTTCCTTACGAACTTCCTGTAGTAATTCGCTAAGCCCAGGAACGAGCGCAACTCTGTCAGCGTACGTGGCGTGGGCCAATCTCTAATCGCTGCAATCTTGCTATCTTCTGGCTTAACGCCGTCTTCGTCTAAGACGTGGCCTAGATACAAAACTTGGGTCTTCGCCCAATCGCACTTCTTTGCATTGATCTTGAAGTTAGCTTCTCTCAGCTTCTCCAAGACTTGCCTGAGATGACTGTGATGCTCTTCGAGGGTCCGGCTAAACACTAGGATGTCATCTAGATAAACTACATCGAATCTGTCTAACCACGACCTAAACAAATCATTCATACACCGCTGAAAAGTTGTTGGCGCATTGGTTAGTCCAAAGGGCATCACTATAAACTCATAATGCCCGTACCTAGTCCGGAAGGCTGTCTTATACTGATCATCAGGGTGTACCTCTATCTAATGATATCCGGACTTTAATTCTATCTTAGAGAAATACTTAGCCCCCTGCACTCGATCTAAGAGATTGTCGATCCTAGGCAGTGACTCAGCATTCTTTACTGTAATAGCATTCAGACCCCTATAGTCTATGCACATTCTCAGCTCTCCCTCTTTCTTAGGAACAAAGAGAACAGGCGCTCCAAAAGGAGACGAACTGGGGCTAATCCAACCCTTCTCGAGGAGCTCGTCTAATTGCTTGCGAAGCTCCTCTAACTCCCGCGGGGACATCCTATACACAACACCCTTAGGATTTCTACTGCCAGGCTCTGTCTCGATACGGTGCTGGATGGGCCGCGGCACCGTGCCTGTCGGCGGCTGAGTCAAATCCTTAAATTCCTCCAGCAGCTTGGCAATCGCAGGGTCCATCGGCTTCTCTTCCGTAGGCTCAGTGACGGGCCTAACATAGGCAACAAAGACCTGTTCCTCTAATTTCTCCTTCTTCACCAATCTGGCGAACGCAGGGGCACTAAGGCAGCAATGTGCCAAGGAATTTTCTACTCCTGACACATGAAACAGGCGGGCAGTCTTAGCCTCGCCTGCAGAACTAGGGAGTCTACACTCATGCTCCTTCAGATGGAGTGTTGCCCCGACTGCCTCTCCCCAATCCATTCCCAATACTATATCAAACGGGAGGCTGTCCTCTACAAGGAGAGTCAGGGAGTGGAGGACCTTCTCCACCTTCCCATCTTTCTCTAGGCGGAAATACGCCTGAACTCCCTCTACGTAATCCTCTACAACCATGGTACGATTGTCCGCGAGGATACTAACTATGGGGTCTGTCAGTTTCTGGACCTTAAGCCCCAGCCTCAACTTCTGCAGCGCTTGCTTACTAATATAGCTGCGGGTGGCCCCTGAGTCTACTAGGGCCCCTACTCTACTTCTAAAA